GGCGACCATAGCGGGAACCACCCTTCGACATGCCCACTGCGTAGCATTTCCGTAGGCGGCAAGCCTTGCAGGTGGTACGATTTTTCTTGTCGATGACGCATTTACCGCTGTTCTTGCATTCGCTAATCGAGGACAGATTGTTGTACGAGCGGCCGAAAAAGGACTATAAAGAGAGAGAGAGAGAGAAGAAGAGAAGTTGATTAGTTAATTTTGGATAAGATACGTTGTTGTCGGTAAAATATAGGAGTTTTGCGATTTCGAATTTTATTATGAGCGAAAATATTTTCGCATCGTTATCGTTTCCGAATTTTTCGAACCCAGTTTTTTAACTGGTTTTTTGTAAATACTTCGAACACAAAAAATGTCTTATAGAATTGACTTTTTTCGGAACAATTTTTAGTTTTTTAGAACTCGATTAATTTCAGTATTGAAAGAACTCGATTTTTTTCATTGTAAACTGGAGTTTTCGATATACTATTATTTTGATATCGAAAATTTTAAAATTGAGTTTTTTCGAAATGTTTTTTTTTGATATCGAAATTTTTGAAGTTGAGTATTTCCAACTTTAAATAAATTTTGGTTTTCTTTTTTATGCAATTTTTTTGGATAAGTTTTCTTCGAATGTAGTTTCCAAAAATTAACTGAATTTTTGCGATATAAAAATTTTTAAAGTTTATTATTTCGAACTTTTTTTGCAATTTTTTTCGAATGTGATTTCTAAAAATTAACCGCTTTTTTCGATAATGAAATTTTTTCGAACTTCTTTCTTTTCGATTTTTTTTTATCATTTCTTTCGAGAATTTTTTTTCGAATATTGAACTTGCTCTATAAAATAACCGAATTTTTTCGAGTTTTCAGGCAGGTTCTGTAATTCACTTTCGTGTGAATTTCAACCGAAGTCACTTTGAATTCAAATTGAATGGGGTTCACTCGGAAGTGAATTGCAGTAGCTGTCTGAAAAAATTTACATTTTTAACCTTTCAAAAAAATTTTTTTTAACACTTACTTTGCAGCCCTCACATGTGAATGCGCCAAAGTGAAATCCGGCAGCTGGTTCTCCGCAAACTTTGCATGTTTGATTCATCTGTAAAAAAAAAAAAAATAATAATCAATGATTAGTCAGTGGAAAGACAATACAATTTTTTTAATACTTTTAGATATATGATTTTTAGATTTTCGACTTTTAGTTGAGTGTAAGTCTAATTTTAATCTGGAATATGTTCACGACTTGATGTTAGTTTTTCAAATTTATGTAATGTTAGATCATGAATTTCGGGACACGACTTTCACAACAGCTTTTTCGCACTAATTTACTTAGGTCTGACACAGTTTTTTNTACTTTTTTTTCTTTCGCTCCTATCGTTGTTCCGTTACCACTGACGTTTGTCGCATAAATGCTGCATATGCTTAACTCGTCCGTTTTTTATAGGCGATCCTCAAAAAGGAGTGTATACACAGCTACTGCGAAAGGAGAGGCCGTGCAAATTATCGATGCAAGAAATATGACGTAGGATATGCGTTGGTGTTTGTGTATAAATGCCTTACTCTAAAGACCGCGCAATTTGCTACCTACGCTGAGAACTTTGCAAACAATAGCTTGAAATGAGTAGCCATGAAAAATGTATGCAAAAAAAAAATGCGTTTGAATAGCCGGCGGCAGGTATGATATTTGAAAGAGCACTCATCTAGTTCTAGATATTCATTCTTTCAACTAGCCATTTAGGCAGGCAGTCAGTTCAAGCTTATGCATAATTGTTTGTTATGTTGGTTGAGAGTGATGCTTTTCTGCGGCGATTGTTGTTGT